AAGAAAGAAGAGGGGGGGGAGAGGGCTCGAGGAAGAAGCCATGACAGTGGCTGGGGCTGCTGCCAGAGGACGCTCCAGGGGCGTCCAGGCCTATGCAGCATCACACTGGGGTTGGGGGCCTGGCAATGCCAACCCCCAGCTTCCCCCAGTCAGGGACTTGGGAGAGGAGGAGCGCTGTGGCCCCCAGGCTGGAGTCACAGCCTTCCCCGAAGATCACGCAGAGTGCGATGGTCTTTCTCTCCTACCCCTCAGGAAAGAGGGACTATATTTTTACTGTACCCTAGGGGTCTGGAAGGGAAAGTGGGATGAGGATTCTTTAGGCTGGTGTGCCCTATCTGTCAGGGCCACCACTGGGCAAAGGCATGGGAGCAGAAGGGGGGGGGATGAGGTTTGAGGGTGCAGCTGTGCTCACTGGGTACCAGGGTCAGCCTCTCACCCTAAACTTCTCCAGTCCAGGAGGAGGCTTGGGCGTTGCATTAGGCCCAGACTGTTGAGCAGGTCTCCCGGCCTGTTTCCTCGTCACCGCCTCTGCACCTGCTGTCTTGAGACACAGCCCAGCCCCAGGCGCACTGCCTGCTCCTGAGCCCCCACCAACTCCCTGTGACGGGTGAACTTCGCGTACTGTGTCTCAGATCCATTATATGAATTGTGAGCAGGGTCCATCTATTTTAAACACAGATGTTTACAAAATAAAGAATATTTCAAACCACAGGATGGCTGCCTGTATGACTCGGGGAGATCTTCTTGGCCCAGCAGGGGTAATGGGATGGGGAGAGGCAGTGCTGGTGGGAGAGGCTCCAGACCCTAGAGCGACAGCAGTGGAGTGACAGCGGAGGCAGCAAGCACTGGCTTCCCTTTTGAACTTCTCCTAGTGCCACCTGTGGGAGAGTCCAAAGCAAAGCTCCGTCTGTCCTGCGAGTGGGTCACGGTCACGCTGCAGAAGTTAGATTATGTGCAGCCACGGGGAGGGCGCTAACATCTGTTCTGGTTTCTGAGGGAGTCTTTAAAGGCACAACAGTTCCCATCTGTTTGGGATGGGTTAGGGACAGGTCTTCCCGAAGGCATGAGGAGGGATCGAATGATTTTTTCCGATCTGTGATGGGATAGCTCCAGAGCAGAAGAATTGTAGGTATTTAATACTTTGGGAGGAATTGAAGGTGGAGAACGGGAGTGGAGATAGAATGAAAAAAATCATGAAGCAAGGCAGGCCTATAGTAGTCTTACTGCATTTCACAGTTTACAGGGCACTTGCGATCCTTTATCTCCTCTGCTCCTAACAATCGCAGTGTTAGATAGGGAGGGTGGTTATCTTCATCCTCATCCACTGGTCAGGAAACATGCTCAGAGAGCTTAGACGATTTGCCTAAGGGTCCCAAGTGACAGTGGCAGAATTTTGGCTAAAAACCACTGAACTGAAATCTCTGGAGGGTAAAGCTTTGGTATCTCTGTTTAGAAAAATCTCTGTAAGCAATTCTCACATAAAGTCAGACTTGAGAACTACCAATGGAGGCTTTCTGTCTACCGAGCCAGTGATGTTTCCAGAACAACCCTTGTCCTGCAGAAAGCCATGAGAATCACCCACTCATCAGTGCGTGCCTAAGGTACGAATTTTGACATGTGGGGCTGGTTTGAGGTAAAGCGGTACCGAGGAGAGTCCCATCAGCCTCATTCAACTGGGGAAAGGCGAGAGCCCTGGATACTAGTGAGGGTCCTAGGTAACCCCTGGAGAAGAATGGTGTGTACCTAAGGAAGAGAGAAGCCGCTACTCCTCAGCTCAGAACTTCTACGGCCTCCTTAAAGAGCGGTCACAAAAGAAGGGCTGGTAAGAGGTGTCTCTGCAAGCCCAGAGCTTACAGGGGGAAGCTCTAGGTATGTGATAAACTTGACAAGTTCAAGTTTGGCCCACGGTCAGTGCCAAGTCCTTAGGACTCAGTGGTTTGGAAAGGACATTTGTTGGCTGCTCCTAGGAACTGCACCCAGTCTGAGCAGCGGACACACCTCACTATGCACTCCTGCCACCCCTTCTAGTGGCAAAAGAGCCTATTCCCGTCTAGGTAACGGGAGCTTGTTTTTAGGGCACAGCCAGCTGAGATGGTTCCTCCGTACTTAACCATGGAACAAGTTGCAAGACAGAAAAGCTGGGCACTCCCTGGCGAATTCTGCCTCCTCCTTCACCACAAATCAGAGTGGCAAGACCAGCTGCTCCCCAGCCTTGTTGATTCTCTGTTTAGGAGACTATTCCCAGTGGGTATGTACCTGTGAAAACACTCTAATAAACACTTACTTTCCTAAGGAAATTTCACTCTAAAATCCCCAAAGCAGGTAAAGCCTAATTGCTAGTTTACTGATGGAGAAATAAAGGTTTTTTGTTTGTTTGTTTGTTTGTTTGTTTGTTTTTTTAAGTCACTGTTGAGTTGGTGGGTACTTGAAAGAACAAAGGGGCATTAGGGTCTTCTTTGTATCTGTGGGCTTCCAGGGGTGGGCTCCCACACTAGGCCCTCAGCTGTCCTGCAATTACATGGCTGGTATTGCAGACCTCATGGGTGGCCTCCCGAGGTCTAGAACCACAGCAGCTCCATCTCCTGCTCACTTCCTTCTGTGGGGCAATGACTGGCACCAGTACCCTAAAGAGTCTTGGGGACTGAGCTTTTTTCAGAGAGGGAGACAGGTGCAGTTCACCCATTCCGACTTTACCCACCCATTCTGTGACTCCTCAGTTATCCCAGCAATGAGGCATCTGTCTACCTGTGTGTGGAGGAATGTGCTAAAAGAGGGAGTTATAATGTGAGAGACATACCGTACAGGGGCAAGGGCAGATATGCGCTCTGGGCCAAGGAATGCCACTGGTTGGAAGGCTTTGCAAAACAAGCACAATGGAATCTCTTTAGCCTGGTGAAGCCTGAGGCACTGAAAGTCATTATTTCTAGAAAATTACATACTCCTCTTTTAAGGGTCCCTTTGAGTTTGTTTGTTTTTTTAAGTCACTGTTGAGTTGGTGGGTACTTGAAAGAACAAAGGGGCATTAGGGTCTTCTTTGTATCTGTGGGCTTCCAGGGGTGGGCTCCCACACTAGGCCCTCAGCTGTCCTGCAATTACATGGCTGGTATTGCAGACCTCATGGGTGGCCTCCCGAGGTCTAGAACCACAGCAGCTCCATCTCCTGCTCACTTCCTTCTGTGGGGCAATGACTGGCACCAGTACCCTAAAGAGTCTTGGGGACTGAGCTTTTTTCAGAGAGGGAGACAGGTGCAGTTCACCCATTCCGACTTTACCCACCCATTCTGTGACTCCTCAGTTATCCCAGCAATGAGGCATCTGTCTACCTGTGTGTGGAGGAATGTGCTAAAAGAGGGAGTTATAATGTGAGAGACATACCGTACAGGGGCAAGGGCAGATATGCGCTCTGGGCCAAGGAATGCCACTGGTTGGAAGGCTTTGCAAAACAAGCACAATGGAATCTCTTTAGCCTGGTGAAGCCTGAGGCACTGAAAGTCATTATTTCTAGAAAATTACATACTCCTCTTTTAAGGGTCCCTTTGACTTTGTGCTTGTAGAAAGCAGCAGCCAAAGAGAAAAGTGTGAACAGTGACCCGTGTATTTCAGTTGTAGTCTGAATCACATAGAGGGTCCCAGTTCTCTTCCTTATCTTTCAGATCTCCGCACTCTGACCTCTCATTGCAGAATTCAGAGATTGGCACCTGGGGGCGTTCACTAAATGAATGTGCCAAGTGAAACAATTCCCGGGGCAAGTAAGAGACAATCCTGCATCCCTCCCTCCCTCCTTTTTTCCTCCCCATTCGACCTTTAGGGCTCTGGTTTCCTGCAAGTAGTGAATTATTCACATCTGTTCATAGATATCAAATTGGCCCTTCCCAGGTTGCCAGCAGGGTGGGGCAAAGAGGTGGCTTTGTTCAAGAGTCTGTAAATAGGAGGAGCAATCTCCTTGTTCAAACAGCACTTACAGGTGGGTGCCTGTTTTTGCTAAGTCATCCTGGAGATGCTCAAAGCACCGTAGTGAGATCCTTTCTGTCCTCCTTCCTGGCTCCTCCTCCCGCCCCACCTTGTCAGTAGACCCTTAAGTGGGCTTGCACCACTCTGCCGGGCTCACTCTGCGCCACCATGGCTTACATCGCCAAGTCCTTCTACGACCTCAGTGCCATCAGCCTGGATGGAGAGAAGGTAGATTTCAATACGTTCCGAGGCAGGGCAGTGCTGATTGAGAATGTGGCCTCACTCTGAGGCACCACCACCCGGGACTTCACCCAGCTCAACGAGCTGCAATGCCGCTTCCCCAGGCGCCTGGTGGTTCTTGGCTTCCCTTGCAACCAGTTTGGACATCAGGTGAGGAGGTCTCTTGTATTGTACCCAAGGAGTTGAGCAGAACAAGGGCAGGGGGTGAGCGAACATGTGTTGGAATGTCTGGAGTTATGGAGTGTTTTTGTTCATTTTAGTCTTTAGGTGCGTGTGAAATACCAAGGGAAGTGTAAATGTTTTACGATCGAATACCATGGATGTGTGTTTATTGTCTTACCACTATATTTCCATGAGGGCAGGTCTACCTCCATTGCATTTTTCTCTCCCTTGTGCCCTTCATGCCTAGGGTACAGAAGGCACTCATTTAATGTCTGTGGAATGAATGAGTAGAGGAAATAGATCAAGAAACAAACTAGGATTGGACTGACTCAGGAGACCTTAGTTCTAGCTGGACTTGGTTCTGCCATTTAATGGCTCTAGGCCCTCAGAAGAGACCCTCGAGTTGTCTGCTTAGTTTCCTCATCTGGAAATTCAGGATACTATCACTTAGCTCACAGGATTATTGTGAGGCTCAGGGGACAAGATATATAAAAGTGACTTGAAAAACCTAAAGTACTATGCAACTGCAAGCAGCTTTGTTATTTAGATGGAGGCCAAGTGCGTATGGGGAGATGAGAAAGGTTTGCACTGCGCATGTCTCCTCTGCGCATGTCTCACCTGCACCTCTGTCTCTGAATAAGAAGTCAGATTGTTACAACTCTTCAGCCTACACACTTCAAGTTCTTTTAGGGATTCTTCTGTTTCTACTTACGATTTTAATTGCTCAACGGGCAGTATGTCCCCAGTGAACTCTTATAATCCCTTAGTTCAACTCACAGTGGTATGGGGGCAAGGGCGTCTATCTCTGTGATAGAAGCAGGAAGGCTGAAGTATCACTGGCTGTGACAAACCTGAGCCAAAATCATTACCACTTTCACTGTTCCTTCCCTATCTCAGTTCTCTTTCTAGCCTTTGCCAGAGCATGAGAGACTGGGCAAAACCTCTCTCCAGCCCTAGAGGTGTCTCCAGCCTTACACTGTCACTTCTGACTACCAAGTTGCTGGAGGGAGTCATAACCTACCAGGAGCCAGCCAGGCATTTGCATTAAGAGATAAGTCTAATAGAGATCAACTCTGGGCTCTGATGTCACGATAGCCTGGAACTGACTGTACTAATTGGTTCTAGTAGGTCAGCAGCAGGAACTTTCTCCCAGAGGGAGATAGCTAACTCAGATCAGAGAGGAGGTGATGGAAAACAAGGGTTCCCACAGGCCTTTGGGCCTTGTCAGGGATGGGAAATCCTGAGTGGGCTAGGACAGAGATGGCAGTGGGGAGGTACCCATAGCTGTAGTCAGAGCTGAGTACAGTGAGCGAATATGAAATGTAGATGTCTTCAGTTAGCAGCCTGAAGTGACAGACAATTACATCTTCACAATCTTTAGCTCTCAAGCACTTATTTCCTCAACGTTTCCTTCCCCTGGCCTATTCCAGAACTCTAAATGCTCTATCGTATTGAATTCACTCCTATTGGTCATTAAGTAGTACCACGTTCATAGTGGTCTCTAATTTGCTTTGCCTTTATGGCATCTGAAAATTAGACTCTTAGATGGGGATCTTCCTTCATCAAAGCTTCCTCCTAGGACAAGGCAAGATGGAAGCAAGAAGCTATAAATCCCATTCCTCTAGGCCTCAATGTCACCCTTAGTTTGAGAAGTTGTGTAGAGCAGAGGGAAAGGTAGGTAGGTGGCAGGGGGTATGTGTCGGAATGTATGTGTGAGTCAGTAGATAGGTAAGTAGGAAGGAAGGGTCTAGGTAGTATGACCAAAGCCTCCTCTCCCTTTCTTTCTTCTGCCCTAAATCCAAGATTTCTTGAAGCTTAAGACCTGCTCAGGGTGGACTGGAGATAAGTGACAGCTGGAAAGTGCTAAGTCTTTGAGTAGAAGGACAGCCAAGCTAGGAACTGCACGAATTTTCAGAGATGGCCTAGAAAACCTTCAAACAATAGCCATGAGGGGGAAATTCCAAGTAGAGCAAAGCAAATAGAGAAATGTACACTCTCATACACGTACCAACATACACACATGCAAACACACATACACACACTCACACACACACAGGAGACAACGATCCTAGGAAGGGAGCATAGGAAGGTGATAGATTTGCATGTTGTGGAACCCTCATTTTCCCCTTCCCTTTTCCATGCCTTTGTCTTTTTCCTTCCCCAGGAGAACTGTCAGAATGAGGAGATCCTGAACAGTCTCCAGTATGTCCGCCCTGGGGGTGGATACCAGCCCACCTTTACCCTTGTCCAAAAGTGTGAGGTGAATGGACAGAATGAGCATCCTGTCTTCGCCTACCTGAAGGACAAGCTTCCCTACCCTTATGATGACCCGTTTTCCCTCATGACCGATCCCAAGTTCATCATTTGGAGCCCAGTGCGCCGCTCAGATGTGGCCTGGAACTTTGAGAAGTTCCTCATAGGGCCAGAGGGGGAGCCGTTCCGCCGCTACAGCCGCACCTTCCCTACCATCAACATTGAGCCTGACATCAAGCGCCTCCTCAAAGTTGCCATATAGACAGGAGCTGCTCAGCACACAGACCTGCTCCATCCGGTCCCTGAGCACCCTTCCTTGGCATTCAGTGTGCAGTCAGGAGACACTGCTGGACCTAAGCTTTTGCTTGAGATCAGTCCCCATCACTGAAGAACCTTGCCCTTCCCATCTGCCCAATTCCTTTTCCTCTCTCAACCCTCTGGTTGGTTTTTCAACTTAGGGCTCTAAGACTTAGGTGGGCTCTGAGCCTTCACAGAATGATAGCACCTTCCTAAACCCCCCCGGGAGGTGTCTGAGAAGTGTGACAGGCCCGGAGCCAGCCTACTAGATGAGTCCAATAAAGGACTGATGTGGAAATGGACCGGCTCTGTGCTTTCTTCCTTTGAGAGGGCAGAGGTTGATACAAGGTGCAGGTGGGAGAGAGGAGCACACAGGTTGGGAGGAGGAGACTCCGATCAAGGGTTACTTTCTGGAAAGCAGGCTCTATTCAAGGTGTGCAGTGACAGTTAGAGTTGCAGGAAATGTGAGTTGTATTACTTTATAGCTCTTCTCCAGAACTGGGGGGAAAGAGGAAGTAGTAACTAATCAGAAGTAAAGAAGAGGACAAAACCTTGGGCCTAACTGGAAAGTTGCAGGAAGATTACAACCAGGAAGACCTCGCTATCACTGGGTATGGGTCAACTAGCGCTTTCCTGTACCTTGAGCAATTCCCTGGAAGTCACTTTAGTCAACTTTGACCTATATCAAGGACATAAAGAATGTACAGTTACTGGGAATACAAAGAACATTTTATCATTTTCCTGATTACCAAGTTAGGTCATATTTGGTTTTTATCTTTTATTAGATTGACTCTTTTCAACTCACATGCTCATAAATCCAAGCATAAGAAAAACAGAGGCATGAAAGACTGGGTGTGAACAGTGGGAAAGGGAACGAGGGCCTCCCTTCAGAGAGTCAGACTGTTTATACTCTGCCACCGTGAACAATGCTCACACCGAGTTTGTGGGAAAGAGGGCCTCCCTTCAGAGAGTCAGACTGTTTATACTCTGCCACCGTGAACAATGCTCACACCGAGTTTGTGGAGCGACTTTACAAGGACAGTGTCCCAGAGTCCTCACCCAGTGCAGGCATATTCAATATCCCTAAAGCCAGGTCCTATTATGTTCTGAAGATACCTGCTAAGAGGACACTGCCCTCTCACTCTGCCCACAAACTTCATCCTAGAACCTTCTCGTTTAATCGTTCCCTTCCTCAACTACTAGGTGAAATATTTTATTTCTCATTGAAGTGTTTTTCCTTTCATCACTGTGCCCTGCTCCCCATAAACACTCTCCAAGCATTTGTGCCAACTAAGTAAATGGGGAATAGAGAAGAAGGATCTCCACTGTCTGACTTCCAACTAAGGAAAGCTCTGTCATCCATGGTGCTTTATTTCAAAAGGGGAACCTGAGCATTATAGTGGGAATCCCCTGGCAGCCTTCTGCAGGGCCTTTTGCTAAATGAAGGCTGCCCTTGTTTCTTGAAAACTCAAGCCTTTCAGATTCCTGCTCCTAGAGCAACTGCTGGGGCATGCACTCTTTGGGGTCAGGATTGTGCACTGACTTTACAGCAATGACTGCAGAGACAAACTGCTTCCCCGGTGAAGTGAAAAGGAGAATTCATGTTGGATGCTAGGAGGGTTTGCTCACCCTCTCGAAAGCGCCATACCTATTGTCACAGTCAGTAACAGAGCCAGTTATCCCGGATGTTGGCATTATGCCACAGCTACTTAGGACCTGATATGCCAATCTTCCCCATGAGGCGTGAGATAATTATTTACAAATTCCCAAAGGAATTGGAATTACAGTGTGAGTGATCCTGCACACACACACAAATGGGGCCAAAATGCTATAAAGTCGCCTCATGTGTGCAGAGGAAATGCTGCTTGTTCAGGTAAGACCTGACCAGTTTGACTCAGGAAGAAACAGAAGAGGCAGGACCAGAGGAACTTGTTTTACAATGTTCTGTTGTGTTATTATAATGCGAATGTGTGCTTTCCTTTATTCCTCATCTTGTTTGTCCTCCTTTTGTCCTCAGAAGGTATGACATGGTCAGACAAGGCCAAAACTTTAATCACCGTTTCTTAGATAAACAAAATGTTTTAATCAAATTTCCCTAGGGGCACTCAGAAGTTGGGAGAAGTCTCATTAATGAGCTCTCCCAGGAGTGCTGAGATAATGCTACTTAATTTGGAGGAAGGACTGAGAATCACTTCTTGGAGGGATCTTACAAAACATACAGCTTAGAATAAATGCTTTCAGGGAGCCAAGATACTGAGACTGAAATTGGTAATAATGTCCATGACTGTGTTCCCATAGCTCTGTCCTCTTAGTTTAAGAAACACTGAGCTAAACTCTACAGTTTTCTTACAATCCTATCACAACCATCATCCAGGCTATTGTTTATTGAATACTGAAAATGTTGGCTCCCTGTGCCAGCGGCCAGGCCTCTGCTCCGCGTGCCGCAGCCGGGGCCACCGGGCCCCCGCTGCCTCTCCGGCGCTGGGTGTGTCCCACGCTTGGCGCCGACGGGGGCCGGAGGTGCGGACCAGCCGAGGTTGCCGTCTTGCCTTTCTCTGGCCGGGCGGGTGAACGGGAGGTGGCGCTGGGTCCCCTGCACATTCGCGTGCTCGGGGCTGGCATGTGGCTGCTGGGCCTGCGCGTGGCCGCCAGGCCTGCGCGTGACCCAGGGCCTGTGCATGCTCCCCCGCCTCCCCGCGGCCGCCGGGCCTGCGCCTGCGCGTGGCCGCCAGCTGCAGGCGGCAAACTGAAGCCGAAAACAAGGATTAAGAACTTGCAACTATAAGCAACAGAAAGAAACTTTGGCTGTCTTAAACCAATTGAGAAATATATTGTATAGGAGGATTTTCTTTACCTATGGACAGTGAGATGATGGTTACCAGCCCTGCTTTACCTCAGGGAAGAACAGGAACTACTCTACCATTCTTAAGGAAGCCAGATACCCGAGGATAACTCATGCTGCAGATCCCCACAACACCATTCCCGCTAATCACAAGATGGCTGCTGTGCCGCATCAACTGATAATCATCTCTGCTTACCAGAAC